AGTCTAGAACCCGATCTAGACTCGGTTCTAGACTCGGTTCTAGATCGGGTTCTAGACTCAGTTCTAGATTGGGTTCTAGACATGTTCCAGCTGTCCCCAGGTGTGTCCCCAGCTGTCCCCAGGTGTCCCCAGCTGTTCCAGGTGTGTCCCCAGCTGTCCCCAGCTGTCCCCAGGTGTCCCAGCTGTCCCCAGGTGTCCCCAGCTGTCCCCAGGTGTCCCCAGCTGTCCCCAGGTGTCCCCAGGTGTCCCCAGCTGTCCCCAGGCTCACGTCCATGCGTTTGCTCTCGTAGAAGTCGGCCGAGCGCCGATCCTTCACCATCTTCTCGATGACGTCCCCGCGGCTCCAGCCCTCGAACACCACCTTGCCGTGCTGGTAGCCCACGTCCTGCAGGGTGACCAGAAACACCAAAAATGACCCAAAAACCCCCAAAAAGACCCAAAAACACCAACAATGACCCCAGAACTCCAACCATGACCCAAAAACACCCAACCATGACCCAAGAACCCCAACCATGACCGAAAAACCCCAAAAAACGACCCAAAAGACCCAACAATGAACCCCAATGATGACCTGAGAACCTCAGCCATGACCCCAAGAACCTCAACCGTGACCCAAGAACCCCAAAAATGACCCAAGAACCCCAACAATGACCCCCAACGATGACCAAGAACCTCGACCCACACCTCGGAGCCCCCGGCCCGCCCCACCGGCCCCGACTCACGTAGATCTCGTCGAACTTGCCGAAGTCCATGGTCTTGAAGCGGTCGATGGGTGGCCGGATGTACTCGCAGTAGGAGCTGGACTTGACCACCTCGAGCTGCCGCACGCAGGACACGTAGGCCAGGCGCGACTGGATCTCCGCCATGTCCGGCACCTGCCGGGACCGGACACTCGGGATGCGTCCGGCACCTCCTCATGGTCAGTGTCGTGGTCATCATCATCGTCTTCGTCATTGTCATGGTCATCATCATCATCGTGGTCATGCTCATCATCCTCGTCATTGTCATCATCATCCTCATCATGGTCATTATTATCATCCTCATCATCCTCGTCATTGTCATGGTCGTTGTCATGGTCATTGTCATCGTCATTGTCATGGTCGTCATCATCCTCATCATTGTCATCATCATCATCATTATGGGCACTGTTGTCATCCTCATCATCCTCGTCATTGTCATTGTCATTTGTCATCCTCATCATCATCGTCACAGTCATCATCATCATCATCGTTATTGTCATCGTTGTCTTACCATCATCATCATCACCTTCACCATCATCCCCATCACCATCCCTTGATGTCCTCCAGGACCATCTCCATCCTTCTCCAGCCCTGTCTCCACCAGCCCTCATCCCCCGGTGGCCCCGGTCTCACCTGGACCTTCTCACCCCATGGTCTCACCTGGACCTTCTCACTCCTCGCTTGACCTTCTCCCCCGTGGTCTCACCTGGACCTTCTCACCCCATGGTCTCACCTCGATCTCCTCACCCCTTGGTCTCACCTGGACCTTCTCCCCCCATGGTCTCACCTTGACCTTCTCGGCCCAGGGGTTGAGGCGCTTCCAGAGGAGCCACCAGCCGGACAAGGAGTCTCCGTAGTTGCACAGGTCGGTCTCGTCCTGGCTGCCCACGTCGATGGCGATGACCGTCTTGGCGCCCATGTTGCGCGCGATGTCGGCTGCGGGACGGACGGACACGGGGACGGCAGGAGGTCAGCGGGGACGGACGGACGGACAAGGGGACGGCAGGAGGTCAGCGGGGACACGGGGACGGCAGGAGGTCAGCGGGGATGGACGGACACGGGGACAGCAGGAGGTCAGCGGGGACGGACAGACACGGGGACGGCGGGCAGTCAGCGGGGACAGACGGACACGGGGACGGCGGGCGGTCAGCGGGGACGGACAGACACGGGGACGGCGGGAGGGCAGCGGGGACGGACGGGCACGGGGACGGCGGGCGG